CTGTGCACTTGACAAATAATCAATCTTGACTATTTGTCAATAAATTTGCGCCTAAAACTATGCCTATAAGATTTGACTGTATTTGCTAAATTTGTTGTGCATGTTTAAAGCGCCTAAAAGTAAATTTTTGCAGCATAGTTTAGGCGCAAATTTATTGACAAATAGTCAAGCTTGACAATTTGTCCAGTGAACAGAATTGGGGGGTAAGTATCAAAGCGAGCTAAAAGTATTGATATAAGACATTTAAGGGCTTGTTATTTTGGGGTTTCCCTGCCATTTACAATTCCATTCGATGTAGGTAGGTATCGATGGTTTACAACGGACGGTTATCAAATATCGATACTTTATTTCGATAGTATTTAGAAGTAATACATAGATAATTGCATGGCCTGGATGAAAATAAATTTAGCTTAAAATACTATGAATGCAATTGCAGAGATTCAGAACAATACCAGCGGTGTGAACTTATTTTTTATCAATTATTTGGTAAATAAAAGTCAAAAAGGAAAAAATCATTGTAATTTTTTATTTTATTCATACCCATTCAGAACCAGGCTCATTTGAAAAGCGATTCTTTTGCTATAACAAAAAAAAATTGTCTTGCAATAATTCTTTAGACTCAGGGGTTTAATTGAATTTTTTTCCTGAAATATTCCTAGAGTATCTAGATGCATTTCTGCATCAAAAATAAAGTTTTGAAAAATATGTCGCTTACGTTAGTTTGGCGGTTAGGGTTCGTTCCTTTAAAGCTATGTAATAATTTCCTGTTCTGCCAACTTTTTTCACAAGAACGGCGTTCTGGGCTACGTAGTTATTTTAATGGACATACGAGTATTTATATCGTCGATGCCTTTGCAAAACTCAAATTTTACACGAGAGCGCAAAAACAGGTCGATGAGCGGTTTCGCAAAGGCATCGACGATATGAATCCTAAGGAAGGAGCTCTGACTCAGGCAAAACGAAAACTTCACTTTATGTTGGAGAAATTTTTGAATTTTGGGAGTTTAGTCATTCGTTTGAATATTGACCCCGTCTGGCAGGTTTCTTGAACTAAAAAAACTTAGTGGCTTCATTTAACAAAATTCAAATTTGGAGAAAATTGCACAGTCGAACTTCTCTACTTCGAAGTCAAAAAATACCTTCCTTGGCGATGTAAAAATTTGTTTTTTTTTTTTTAATCCCGCAATAAGAAACTTAAAAACGCTTGCAAAATTTGTTGAACTCGTTACAAATTTTAATATTAACGAAAGATACCGTTGGTTCAAGAATAAATTTGTTGTAGCAGAAAAAAACACTTCTTTGAATAGCTAGGAATTTACGCTGTAAAGGAGTTAGCAATCTTTAAATAATAAGTTTTAATAAACCGGTCGATTTCTTTACTTCAGCGGTATCGGAATTTATTTATTTGAATTTATCGATAGCAGATATCCTGATGAAAAAAAAAACGTTCGACAGAAGCCAGAAAATCACTTTTCGCATCTATCGTTCAGAGGAGGCGAAAAATTGTACGTCCCTCCATTTATAGGACAACATTTAGGCTCACAAAATAAATATTAATATTATTAATTTAATATTAAAACAAAACCAAGAGAACTGGTGCAAACAATTACTGGCCTCAAACTTTAAAATACAACTTTTTCTTGAAAATTAAATGGATTAAATATTCGCCACATCTCTCACGTCGAACTACAATGGCTGCTTCCCCTCTGAGTGTTTCATCTCTACTGTCAATAGCATTGACAGGTAATCTCTTTTATTGCCTGATAGACTTTTATGTGTATATGTATTTAGGTATACCTACATTGGTGTTTATATACCTTTCATTTGATAAAAACAGTAAAAATAAAAAAATATGTACATATAAAACAAAACTGGAAACCAAAACAGTTTGCATCAAAACAAAAGTAAAAAAAAAAACTAAGTGCATTGCACCTTGATTATACACTCTTCTATGCTTTTATATGAATTAGTTGTTTGTCCACCCCACCATTTTGTATACGTTTGTATCACTGTGTGTACCGGAATGTGTGTATGTATGTGTATGTGTACCCACGTCAAGCACTGGGGCAGACATCTTAGTACTTTCGAGCCTTTTCACTCGACACCGGATATGATGCTTGGATGTAGACAGATATTGATGTTTGTTTGTGTGTACATACATATGTGTGTATGTATGTTTGTTCAAAGCTTGCCAAGTGGCTATGTATGTAGGAAATTCTTAGAGTGGATTAAATGGCGAATAAAATATATATTAAGGTGATTAAAAATAGAGCTTTTCATCTAAAGCCAAGTATCGAATGCTTAATGAATTGGAAATGATTTTCACTAGAACTAGAATGTTATGCTAAAGGTTTGAAATGTTAGAGAGGAGAATGTTAGAAGGGAAAATGACTAAAATATAAATGGCTTGAATATTCAATTGAAACTCTGGGACAAAAGTAATGTCATTTTATAATAAGTCTTTGTTTTCATCCGAAGGCTACTTGAATGTTCAAAACTAATAACATTAACGGGGCAATTCTGGCAGCTGCCTTTCAACTCACCACAATCTCTCGAAAAACAAAAGTCTTTCGTTAGACAATTGTCCATTCGCTCTTCTTAGACTTACTGATAGATTTGCTAACGCTATTCCGTTTGTCTTTAAACAATAAGTTTTCTAAAAATTAAATGAAATTAGAAAGTACATGCATATACATATATTTTTCTTTGTGAAACAATAAAAACTAAAAATTATACGAAATCAAATTAAAGACTCAATTTTAATTTTAATAAAAAATAAAAAAGTAAGTTTATAAAAATTGAGCGTTATTAAAACAACAACAAATCTAAAAATAAAAAAAATGATAATTAAAGAACATAAAAATAAATGAAATTAAAATTTTTTTCTTTTCAAAATAATATAATCTGGAAAAAAAATTAATAAAATTAAGTCAAATTTGAAAAAAAGAAAAACTAAAGTAATAATTTTAAAAAAGAATAATAAAAATGAAAAACCAAAAAATAAAAAATATAAATGAATAAGGAAAGCAATCATAAACTTGTTCTAAAATAAATAATTATTTGAGCTGCAAAAAGTTGTTTTATTCCAAAATCCATAAAATAGTTATTTAGTCTGGCATAACTTACCTACTTTTTTTATGTTTAATAAATATTTCACCGAAAAAATTTATTTTTCCCAAAATGATTCCCCTTAAAAAATATTTATTTCCCAAGTTTATCTTTTCCCCAAAAACAAGAAAAAAAAATTGTTCACAAAGAAAATTCTCAAAACTACATTTTCCCAAAAATACTATATATTGATTTTTTTTTATTGTTATTTTGTTCTAATTTTCATAAAAATATATTTTTTATAAAAAGTTTTTATCGCGAAATTCCTGAAAAAATTATCTTCTTCCAAAAAAAATTGCGGACAAGTTTTTTTAATTTTTGGCATTTTTATGCTAAATATTTTCTCTCAAATTGTATAATAAAATTATTGAAACTTAAAAACAAAAACCGCTGATATCCATACAATATCGTTATAAGTGGAGAACTTTTTGGATAACATGTTTCCCTTGGTCTCGAAAGGGTTAAAATTACATGAACTACAGATAAAAAGAAAAATAAAATTAAATACAAAAACTAAAAGTAATTTCCCAAATATTAAATTAAATAAACAATAAAATTTAAGAATTATAAAAACATACATAAATAAAAAAATAATAATAATAAACGAAAAGAAGCACAACATGTTTCTAAAAATTAAATGAAATAAAAAAAATATTTTATTGTTATTTGAGCCCTAGGCCGAGGGTAAATAAAACAATTGGATGTCTTATATTCCTTGTATATTGTTTTTTTTGCAGTCCTGAAGATGCCTTTAGGTTAAAGGCGAAATATCGAAAGTCATAAACAAAAAGGAATATAAGACATCTAATTGTTTTATTTACCCTCAGCCTAGAGCTCAAAAAACAGTCAAAAGGTTACAATAAACGGTAAAAACACAAACCCAACATTTTTTTTTGTAAACAATAAAATCTAAAAATTGTAAATAAAAAAAATGTATATAATTAAAACAAGTTTCAAAAAGTGAAATCAAATTAAAGAAATATATACGTATGTTTATTTTGAATTTTAAATCAATGAAATTTAACAGTAAAAGAAAACTTCATAAAAAATTAGAGAAAAAAATAAATAAAAAAGCAAAAAAATCCAGGTGCTCGAACAAAAGCTTTCTGTCAAAAAGGCTTTCCACTATGAGCAAGCGAGCTTTTCTTCTAAGGCTTTCGTCGCAGATTAAACAAATTCTTTCAAACTATGTTGCCGACTGCCTTTCAATGGTGTGGCAAAAGACTGTCAACCATCTTAGCCAGAATTGCCCTGTAAGTGTAAAAAATAAGTATTGAAAATTGTGGGTTCTACAGGTTTTGTGAACTAATTACTGGCAATCTAAGTTTCTGTTTATTTGCACGGTCGTATGATAATAGGTCCATTTACCATGCATAACATATTAACCTCCGTTTTGGACGGAGCTGAAAGTTCTTCCTAGCAACACGCTACACAGTTACTTATTCCTTGTAAAGGGTCCCGATTTTCCAAAGGAAAAGTCCATTTTAGGAAAAGTTATTCAGGGTCGAGAGAGTTAACTATTCGAGTATCGAGTCTTTCAATTGCCAGCATTTATAAAGGGTGAGAGTCAAGTCCAGCGCTAGATTTTTCTTTCTTATCGTTATTATGTCTAGGGCATTACGATAATGTGAGCCTTACCAAGCCTTGTGGGTCAAAATATTTCCAGTAAAATAAGTAAGATTTTCCAAAAAATCGAAAACTTTAGATGAATAAAATTTGATGACATGGATCACAGTGTGTTAAGGATTTTTCCTATGAATTAATACCAACATTTAAAATAACTTTTAGAACAATTTATATATAAAATTTTTACCAGCTGCATAAATATTTAAAATTTTTAAATTCTGCACATCTAATAAAAATGTAATTGTTTTATTTGTCAACCATTTCAGGTTGGCAGCGGCTCAGGAAGCGGCGCTAGCAGGGCATCAACAGGGCTCCACAAGCGGGGGGCACTCGGGTCGAAGGGGAGCCCATCGCTTAGCTGATAGAATGGGTGGCCCAAAGAAAGACGATACACCACCTGGTGGTGGTCCAACATCATTATTTATCCTCACCGAGGATAATCCAATTAGAAAATACACACGATTCATCATAGAATGGCCGCCCTTCGAGTACGCTGTGTTATTGACAATCATTGCCAACTGTGTTGTGTTGGCTTTAGAAGAACATTTGCCTGGGGGTGATAAAACAGTATTGGCTCTGAAACTGGTAAGTGTACATACATACATACATAAATCGTAAGCATAAAAGCGCCCCAAAATAAAGTGAGCTTGAGCGCTGATATATATAGGTATGACCTTTTATTAAGCTATATGTATATCTATAAGGAAATACTTTGCCAATTACTAAACTACTTTCTATTCTATTTTTATATTTTTTCGTATACTTAGGAAAAAACGGAGACCTATTTTTTATGCATTTTCTGTGTAGAAGCATCGCTCAAGATCCTTGCCTTAGGGCTTGTTCTGCATAAACACTCCTACCTCAGGAATATTTGGAACATCATGGATTTTATCGTCGTAGTAACGGGGTAAATATTTTGTTTCATTTTTCGTGAATTTACACACACGCTCCTTTGCTGTAGTTGTTGCCTTTCAACATGTGTGTGTAAAGCCGTTGGCGGTGGGTTTTCGAAATGGATCTTAAATGATCTTAACATGTTATTTAAAAAAATACATTCATCTGTACATAAACTAAGATTATCAAGTGCACTTCATAGTATTACACCGTAATCCACGTTTGTTTATTTAATATACATATATATTTATGGCTTTCATTTTCATTCGACACAAAACTTTCTTTAGTTATAGTATTTTAAAAACCTTAGTTTTTTGTGCACAGTACATTTATCTAAGTCACAAGCGCGCCTCTGTTCGTGTTCGATACATTTAAACCCAGAGTGATGAAGTAAATATATATTTTTTATAACGAATTTGTAAGAAAAAATATATAAAACAAAAATACCACTTAGGTGTAGGTGATATATTTTTTGAATTTGGGTCTTAAATTTTATGAATTTTTAGAAACCAAAATGGTGTTTGCAATACCTTTATTGCATTCCTTAGGTTAGGTTATCCTAGCTGCCCTTATACAGTAAAGGAAAAGGGCACACTTAGGCATCCATTGGCCCATTGTGATGCCATATTAGAGACTCCTAGCGTCCTACATCTTACCTCAGAAAACGAACCAATTTGCAGCTCTGATGAAGCGCACAAAATCGTAGATACTGGCCGAGTCCAGTTCAGCCAGACACTCAAAAGACGAGCCATTGCCGAAGTGGGATAGTACCGCTCTCGATTTCCTCCTCATCACGGCAGCTACGACAGTAATCGTTTGATTACAGCGTGGGCTACCACTAAGCAGTGTACGATGAGAACTCCAATAACATGTCGGGGCATTGGTCGCTCCAAATGGAAGAGAGGGCGAGATCTACGCTTATCTAACCTAGGCCACACTTTTTTTTGAGCTGCCTTTACGTCACGGTTTGCAAAAGGTCTAACGTTTTTCGACTCCACACAATGATCAAGAAGTGAGCAGGGCGTGCTGCTGTCGATGGTACAATTGAAGTCAGTCGCTGCAGGAACGAGTGAAAGAGCATAGAGTAGGTCATCTGCCATTGCCCTGGCTTGTTTTAAATACGATTAAAATACGAGTATTCACAGGCTTTTCCGCTGTGTACGGGAAAATAAGTGGGTCCCTTACATGGGAAAGTTTATCTGGCACACATCAGGTCACGTTAGTAGTATCGTAATGAACTTCCTGGCTGAAGTTTGGCTCCGAACATTCCTTCTATATTGGCAGTCGTCAACGTAATTTATCCTAACCAATGAGGAGTTCCTACGGCGAAGTATTATTCGTAGAACAAAATAAACTTTGTCGCCTCGAAAAGGTAATTGGAAAAGATGAAGACCCCAAATAAAGTTACTTAAACCAGATAAAAATTAACGAACCTATTTTGGCTTCAATCTTGAAAACCTCTAATTAAAAATGAAAAATCAAAAAAATTACTTGGTAGCTTTTAAGTTTTTGATCTTGGACCTACGAATATATATTCTATATTTCTAGGAAACAACTCTGAAGCTTCAGAAAAGCATGCACTAAAATCTAAGCCCTGTTAAAGTGTATTTTATTCCGAAAGTGTATCGAGCATAAATCCATAAACCGGAGTCATTATTTTGTTTATATACATACATATCATCCGCAAATAATTCCTAACAAAGTTGCATACTATTTTCAGCAAAAACACATTCTCTTTAATGTCACTCTATTGTATATACGTATTTACTTCTCTTCCGCTTTCTTCTAAAATTTTAAATACATATTTATTAACTATAAATATAAATAAACTGCTTTTACGAATATTCGATTATGTTATGCCAAATTAACATTCGGTTTATGTTTTGAATATTATTTTTTTTTCTTTTTAATTTATTGATTTACCTCATATTTTCTGACAACTGCAATAAACGTGATGTTGTGAATGCCACAATGCAATCGAATGAAACTCGTTGAATATGTTTAACCAAATGCACACACTAACACTTGCGATGACCGAATGCCAATTTACATACTATACACCAATACCTGCACGCTAACTATATGAAAAAAAAAAAAAATGCAATTCACTTCATGCATTGCCGCCTTGTGCATGGGGGTGTATGCGTGCTTGCGTGCGTGCGTGCGTGCCTGCCTGCCTGCCTGTCCCTTGGGCGCCTGGTGGGGTATTTAGCGCTATGACGATCTTCGCCGAGGCCAATATAGATGTCGATCTGCGTATGTTGCGGTCGTTTCGTGTACTCCGGCCACTCAAACTCGTTTCAAGAATTCCAAGTAAGCTTTCCAGCGTACGTGTACATATAGTAATTCAAGGGAAAAAAATACGACATTTGTAGGCCAGTCATAGACAAAATTACATAGATTATTCACTACTAGTGCTTAGAAATATTATATATGTATAGTGAAATTTAAAAGATCACTCAAGATATATCTACTATCTATGTCTATTATTTATATGAGTTTATATGTCCAATAAATTAGAGAAAAAATAGTAAAAAATTTTTGGAAACTTAGCTCATTTATTTAAAGCCTATGAGCAGTGTGTTCAAAGAACTAGTAGTAATGTACCTTCACTCCTCAAGTCTTCTCTTGGGCACTTGGTTCGATTTGCAAATTGCCAATTTTATAAGAGAGATTTTTTGATAGACTTTTTTGATTTTGAGATAGACTTTTTTGTGCTGATTACGAATCCGTAAGTATAAAGTTTTCATCAGCGCCAGATTCTTTGATGACTATAAGTGACCATCAGGTCAAGGTGCAAGGATGGTATTTTGAGGGACAGGAACCCTAATTCTCGTTTTGAATAAGATCTAGTTAATCACAAACCCCCACATCCTAGGGGGTAGAAAACCTTCCTGAGGAGTACTTCTGTTTGTCTACCTCGACATGGTCACAGCATCCACTCATCCAGCACTATCCCTTAACTCAAACAATTTTAATACAAATATAGTAGGATTAATTCCCCGTTCTATTGCTACATCCACTAAGAAGACCTTTTTATGATCAGTACCGCTTCGTATAGGGATTTTAATTTTTTGACATATGGTTGGGTAAGATTCCCTCTTTATTACCGAAAAAAAATCTCAAATGTTTTCGGTAAGAACCAGTTGAGGCTTATGAAGTACGAGTAAGTAAGCAAACCTTGCTACTATCCTAATTTTCGGAACGTAACTAATCCTTTGACAGTACTTAAATACGTCGATAAGCTTTGGAACTAGCAAACAATCACCCTTTTACAAAAGCGCAGAAAATATGACAAATACTATTTAAGTCTTAAAATCCTGATATTACTCGAATCGTCTGCCGCTTCAGAGCAACCAGGAAAGTAAGGAAGTAATCTCTCTTCTACTTCCTCAAATTATCCGGCTGGAAATGGCGTAAATATTTGAACAATTAACTTAACATCTTTAATATGCGAAGTCATAACCACTCTTAAACACAGCGAATAACATCTCTAGTAAATTTAAAAATAGGCGACTCAAACAGGGCTGTCCGGTCAAACATTTTTATTACGGTTTGTCCTTTAAAATTCCGATATATGGAAAAGCGATGAATAACTCCACCAATAAAACAGCTGAAGTCATTTACTAGAAGCTCGATGGAAAAATTTAAATCCTTTTTCCGACTTTAAGAAAATACTATGGGAATATATGTAGGCATGATTCATACATACATATGTATATATGTGTTGCAAACAGTGTCCTTTGAAGTAGGTTAGGTTAAGTAGTTCGGAACGCAGCATCCCAAAAATCCGCTAAAAAGATTATTCTCTTCTGTTTAAAGTACCTGATCCTACAACGTCACTAATTTGAGGACCAAATTATTTTTTTGCTCTGGGGAAAAGGAAATAGTAGTTTTTGTTTAGAACACGCTGCTCTAGGGCTATTATGTCCGTTGAATGAAAACCAAATAAATAATATAATAAGTTATAGCTAGTTGTATACAATATTCGTGCCGTAGACCGTTCTGAAATTTAAAAAAATAATAGATTAGATTTCTAACTCCATCGTGGTCGACATTTTACTATATCTACATTATAAAATTATAGACATAGAAAAAAAAATAACGGCTAGCAATTAGCAATAATAGTGAAATACACATAAATATGTATGTATACTTATGCTAGCAAAATTATTAACACCAACAAAAAATATATCTATCTACTATCGCTAACTTACACATGTGCTCGACAGCGGGTAAGCAAAATACTATTAGATAGATTTTTGTAGTAACATACACGTACATAGACACTTAGAGGCATCAAAATGTACAAATGTACCTAAGTACGGCCAAAAAATAAAAAAGGATAAATACTAGTTTAGCGACAATTTTAGGCTGTCCGGATACGCGATGTAAGAAAGAACGCGCGAATTTAGTTAAAAATATAAAAACTTAGCTAATTGTATGTATGTATGTGTGAGTGGAGTAATGAAGTTATAGCCTTATAGCTCAAGTATTAGCTATTTTGTTTTTATAGAATTTTTTCATAATTTTTTCTCCATTAAGATTTATTTTTTTTTTCAAAAGCCGATTTTCCACGCAGCATTAAAATTTTAACTATTCACACTTAGTACAACACAGTTCGCATGTTCATACCTAAACACTTTTACACTTAACGCTATACTATACACTAGTGGTTAAAGAAATAATAATTGCAAATATTTAATGCTGAGTAAGAGAATGCACTCAGCGAGCTTAAGCTGCGCGTACAACTGTGAAAAAAGCGAAAAAAATTAAGTTTTTTTTTATCTCATAAAATACCCAATTGATTTCTGCTGTCGTCAGCGTACTTCAAATGTTCAACAGCAAAAGCGTTTGATTTGCATAGCAGAATACGCGGCGCGCTACTTTTTCAAGATGAATTGAACTATTTTGCTCTTGAAATGAAGCAACTTGACAACAGCCTTAACTGCTTTGGTTCCTTTTCGTGTGTGTGGAATACCAACGAATGTTTTAACGAACAAAAGAAAACAAAAAAAAAAAAAAACAACGAAGAAGAAACGGCGAGATGCAATTAAAATTATGTTTCTTTATGCAAATCCTTGTATACTCATTCATGTTCACAAAAATTACGTATACGTAGTTGTTGTAATCGTATAAATTTACATACATACATACGTACATACAAACATACATATATGTATAGTGTTGTATAAATAATTTTCATTTGGCAAACAAATTGTCTGCTTCTTTTGTTCGGTTGTTTGTCAATAGTAAATTTGTGTTGATTTTTCATTACATTAATGTTAGCCTACATTTATGCGTTGGTAATTCAAAAAAAAAAAAAAAAAACTTTTTCATCAGCAAATGCACTTAATATAAAGTTTATGATTTTTTCGCCACCCACCAAAGCCATTGTTAATTTTCCACTGAGCAACTCAAAAGTACCGCTACATCACTGTATAATTTATAGCTAAGTACAAAATTCCAAAAATCAAAATAAAAACTAAAAAAATTACATAAACATTGTACAAATTGAATATATTCGTATTCGTATATGCATACATATTTATATTTGCAATATTTATTAATTTATATGTTATTCTTTTATATCCTCCTTTGCCACTATATACAAAAATTCATTGCTACTAAACACATGTTAATGCCATGTTAATGCCATGCCATGCCATGCAATCGGAACATTTTGCCAAATAAAAATTATCATCTCTTTCAAATGAATAAAAACAAAAAAAAAAAAAATACAAAACTCTTCAATCAAAATTAACTTCAACTCGAAACTCGTACAAATAACATTTATACAAAATTAAAACATAATATCAATGAAAAATTAACAATTAAAACCAAACACTTGCATATTCGAAACAACATCAGATTTATGGCACTGCTCCCACAAAAATGGATTGAGGTAGATCTAAAAACATTAAGGGCTATACGTGTGCTAAGGCCCTTGAAATTAGTCTCTGGAATTCCTAGTGAGTAGTTTCATTAGTTGTAAGCGCTAAAATGTTAAATATTTTAAATATGTAATTAAATATGTAGTGGTAGTTGTAAAAAAAAAAATATGTACAAAAATTACTAGAATATAGCGCTAGTTTCTTATTAGTTTAAAATTTTTTAAATTCATACATAATAGCCTAGCATGCTAGATATTTTTATACATATGTATTCAAAAATAATTTTAAATTATTATTTTTTAGTTTTAGCTACATTTAGCTTAGTATTTTTTAATAACAGCGCAAAACAATGAAATATGTTGGTGGAAAAATACGGGTACATTTCTACGGAAATTTCTAATCAACGAATTGAACATTACATTCTTTTAGAATACGTACACGCATATATATATTATTCAACCATTTGAAATGTACAGCTAAGCTTATAAAAAAAAATCAAAATGTGTTTCCAAAAATATTTTAGTATATGGACTCAACACCGTTAGACCGGTTCGGTTCCCATACAAAACAAAACAAAAATCGCGTGAATAACCAGTTACTCATAAAATTTGATTTTTAAACTTAAATATTTAGCCAGAACTGGTCCTAAAGTGGGCTCAAACTAGGCTAAAAATGGTCCCGAAGAAGTTCCGAACTATGCATGTATATCAACGAGCAGTGTTGCCAGAACAGTGATTAGATTTCTGAAATCGTCTTGGTTTAAGCGTGACATAGTTAAATACTACTCGTACTAAGTGGTTATGGCATGAAATTCCCTAAGGTAATGAAAAAGAGCATACTTGGGAACTTATCGTGAAATAACGATGACGCAAACATGAATTCGTTGCAATGAGCAATCAAAAATCACCGTAGACATGAACAATTCGCACAATAGGTAAGGTCTGACTTCCTTAAAATGGGGCATTATAAGTTCATGTGTTGTGAGATATTTCATGCCAATACCGCTGGGAATGAGGCTTGGGTTTTTTTTCAAAAATCAAATCTGGCCAAAAAATGCTGTGACATTCCAAGGAACTGGGTAGAACCGGGTTCTACTTGCATTTTCACAAAATTTATCCAAAGATGATTCAATCAGGCATCTCTGACTGTGTTACCCCTAATGATGCTTCTGAAGTCCATCTTCTGTTTGTCAGTTCCACGAAGTAGGTTTTAAGCCAGCGCCTTCCGGACGAAAGCGGTATACCCACTTTATTGAAGGTATTCGTGGTAGAAAGGGTATGGTACTTCTATTTGTTCTGAGACTCAAACCAACCCTAGTACAGTGTAGTACTTGGCTGGCAGCTCTTTTAGAGCTCGATATTTGATACCTTTTTTAGAGAGTGTCAAGCAGCCGTCTAACGTTTTAATAGTAAATTGACTGACCGAGCAATCTCGTTTTAGTAGGTTAAGCTTAACCTTGATCAATCATAGTTTAGCTTTCTTAACAGCTATCGATGCGAATATTCACCACTTTCCAGACTTTATTTTTTCTGCTATACGTTCACCGAGGGAATCCATTATCCAAAGTGGAGGTCGGTGTCGTGTAGTCTGGTGACTTGATTTTAACAGTACTTTACGGTGATGGCCTATAGTGAAAAGTTTAGCCCGATTTTGGAAAACGAGGAATGAAACACAACAAATTTTTTACTAAATATAAGCCACCAATACTACTTATTACGTTTTATGACTCCACAAAAAAATGTACGTTTATATTCGTCACAAATTGTTACTTGAATTGAAGGAGCCCGTCTTATTGTGAATCCGCCAACATATTTCAATATATTTCAGTTAGCTATTTAGATAATTATTAGCTAACTAGTTTTTAGTTGCGCTAGTTTTGTAACTTTTTCGTAGCTATTTTTTAACTGTTAAACTGTTTAATTTTTTTAATAACTAGAAAAATAAATTTTGTTCCCAAACTAATACACAATTTTATTTTCTTACGCGAAAATCTCAACACAACTTCATGCGCGCTTAACACTGCTGTGCCTTTCGATGCTGGAATCTTTGCTGGAAAACAGGTTTACAAGTAGTTTTAAAATCCATTATCAAGGCTATGGCGCCGTTACTTCAAATCGGACTTTTGGTCTTGTTTGCAATCGTTATATTTGCAATCATCGGACTCGAGTTCTATTCGGGCGCACTGCATAAGACTTGTTATAGCTTAGAAGATCCAAGTAAGTAACAAATTTCACTGCTAAGACAATTCATTTGAGCGCAGTTTACATAAAGTCATAGACAGGCGGCAGCATTGATACGGCATAACTCGTTAATTCGGAATTATGTCGGACATTAACTGAAGTTGATTCTTATTGAGTTCTAGAGTTTAATGAGTTAGTTTAATATCTATGAAATTAAATTTATTAAAAAATCTTAAAACAACTTTAATTATATACAATTAATTTAAAAAATAAAAATTTGATGGCAGTGGTACTCGAACAAACGAATGGCGATTCGCTTAATCCGTAAAACTGCCTTCGGCCAGGGTGCAATTTTGGTCGGATAAACTGCGTCGCTATTTCAGACTAACGTTGCCGTCTCTCTATGCTATAAGTACAAATTTAACACAATGAAAATACTTTCTCCTTTCCTATAAACATGTATCGTACACCTAGATCTAAAGTAGGATCAACTCAAAAAAAAATTTTGTGGAATTTTTTTTGCATAAATAAATTAATAGGAAATGGATATGGAAATATTTTTGTCGTCATCTGTACCATCCACAAGCAGTTAAAATTTCCTCTATGAATTTTGAGTTAGTTCACTTTAGAACTAGATGTGCGATATTTACACTGAAAGAAAAGTTTAGTTACGTCAATTCAATCTATTTCGCTCAACTCACGTTTGTTATTGTCTTGTCTTGTCGTTGGCGTAATTAAACCCAATTTCTTAGTGTACGAAACGCTCTTCTTCTTTTAACAATTCGAAATAAATCACCATTTGCGTTTTCTTCCAGATAAACCTGTTAAGGAAGGCGAATCAGAGACACCATGCAATACGGATAATGCGACGGAGAAAGCGGGTGGCTCATTTGTATGTAATTATAACACGAGTATGTGTCTGGAAAAGTGGGAAGGGCCAAATTGGGGCATAACTAGTTTTGATAATATCGGGTTTGCCATGTTGACTGTGTTCCAATGTATCACCATGGAGGGCTGGACAGCAATACTGTATTGGGTAAATTGAAAGAAACAAAACATGCCAAAAATACCGTTGTAAAAACATTTGTAAAAAATATTTAGTAAAACTTGACATACTTCAAGCAATCGCCAAAATTACATGTTTACATGCTACCAATTTATATGTCTGCGCTATGTTTGTAGTTAAGTGCTGCTAGAATTTTGAAAAAAAAAACAAAAACGAAATAATAATAAGTTTTCTGATATCTCATCGCCTACTAAAACGTTTACGTGCTGCTAGCAAATTTTACTGTGTTATTATTTTTAGTACAGAAAATATCTGAAACTAAAACTTTTCTGAGATCTGCTAAATACGTTCTGTGTTTTCTATTTAAATGTGCTCATTCAGCTGTTTTTATGAGTTTTTTTTAAGGTCTTTAAGGTACTCTCTACCTACTTTTGTACATATGTATGTATATTTCTCCAATTGAATTAAATGTGTGATATCACTCGGTTATCTGCTCCATTTAGCCCTTATGAATGCAACTATGAATAAATGACTTTAACATGTTTCGTGGAATTTTAAATGCTAAGCTGCACAATATTATTGACGAGAATGATGATTCTATAATTTTGATTGTTAACCTTTTTCCAATTTTTAGCCTCTTCACCTCCGGTTATCTATCTGTCTATCTCTAACTACCTTCAACTCGAAATTCCCCTGACTGATTAAATGAAAAGCACTTCCAATATCTTAACGTATTTGTTTTAAAAAATTACCATCCGTATGCATATGTGTATTGGATGGTAAATAATAACTAATAACACTTTCCTTTATTTTCATGTAATATAATTTTTCTTTCCGGTCCCTTACAAAGCTCTTTCCTTGCAATCACTATTTCAAGAAAACCTGTACACACTGCCTATTGCGAATACTGATTTACCTAATACAGAATTGCCTATCATTTATGATAGTGAGCTACTGAAGAAGGTGAAGGTGTTGCCGTTATATTTCCATATGCCCATGCACTTTTATAAATGTATTTAACTTAAAATTAACACACTAATACTTTAACGGACGTTCATTTTGATGCATTCCTCGCTAAACACTACTTCTTGCATTTTTATTCGTTTTGTAGAACCCATGCATTTGCATTTTAAACTCAAGTGTGTTCTTGCTAGTTGAAAAATATTTCATATAATTTACTATCTTACCTTTTAGAGTTTATTTTGACCCTCCCTCCGTTTAATATAATTTAGGTTTTGCTTTTATTAGAAAGAGTATACTTTTATTAGAAAAAAGGGACATAAGTGATCGAGAAAGTTATGATGTTACTTATTTCTATAAAACATTGCACTAAAAAAAAAAAAAAAAAAAATTGGGAAATTAAATTACTAATCCCCTCCTAAGTATACTTGCAACTCACATCTGGTGGCTTGAAAAGCATGGCATCCAACAAAAAAATAAAAAATAAATAAAATTATTAATTCCTTACTCATTGCCAGACAAACCTTTTCGAGGATACCTTTTTCACAAGCCATACATGCGCATTTATCTTTTCATCTTCAATTCTAATACGAAGTGAAACAAAACAACTCAAATTGAACAGGTTGCAAGAACAACTACGAAAATTTGTATACAACGATTTTGGCCGTAATTTTCAACCAACTCTCCTCATCTAAAGAAAATACTTTTCCAGTGGTGTTCTATATTTTTTCGGTAGAATCGCCAAATGAACGGAGACAAAATTTATGTTAGCATATTAATATCTCAATAAGCACACTGGTGTATAAGTTGGTGTAAATTAGTAAGCAGAATTATACCAAAATTCGTAAATTTACACCAAGTTATACACCAGTGTGCTACTTCAGATATAGATATGGGCCTGAGTAGTTCAAACTTTAGTTTTACTTAACTTATGTTGAGAAATGTCACATAATGTACCAATCTGTTCTATGAAGAGTGGATTTGTTCGGGAGAACGTGCACCTAAAGAGGCCAGTAGGTCTGTCCGCCAAAGAGCTCAACGGCGACAGTTTTTTAGAATTCTCGCGATGTCATTCGCAAAAGCAAAAACAACGCAATTTTTGTGCAGAAACATTTGCTCTTTTACCAAGGCAATGAAAGGGTGCACGTCAAAAATAAAAGAAAAGAAAATATTTTTTCCATAAATTGGGGTATAAAGACCCAGTTTTTGCGTTTGTTGTTCAGTTTTTACAGATGTAAGTTATCATTTAAATATAATTTCTGGTATGTGGAATGCATCAACTCTGAATGTTTCTTGGTGTGTACTTATGCATTCTTTATGTTTTTTTGTGTACGTATCTCACTCATACCCATACATATACATATACATATATGAGGCTATAAGAGCCAGGGGAGCTTATCTATGTACTAAAAAATTTGTTGAGTAACTACGATTATTATGGAAAAGTTCACTTATTATAAAAAAACAAAACTAGATTTTTTGGAAATGTCAATTAGACTACTCTGGCTCTCAGGGCCTCCTAATTGAAACTGAATTGCACGAAATTCTTTATAATTTTATAATTTTCTTATTTCTTTAGATTTAGATAGATTAATTGGAGAAATTGGAATTAAAATCAAAAGCGCTTTTAAAATTAGTGTAAATGCAACGAAATTTTTAATTGAAATTTTAAGTTTTCATACATGAAACCTCTCTCAGTAGCATACATTTTTTTTTATATTGTATATAACTATGTGCTGCATTTGTTGTAATGATAAGCTATTTAATTTCAACTTCTTTCTTCTCATAGCGCATACTTTTGTGTATGTATGTATGTACGCTAATACATACAAACAGGTGTACATATAAGTGTATGTGTAAAGAAACGCATTAACGTATGCTTGCTGTAACTCTAACTGAATAAATATCATTCATGCCTTACTTTGTTACAATTTTGTGCATTTACTATGAATTAACTTACATATCTCTCTATGCTTTCAAAATGATATTCTTACAGACCAACGATGCTTTAGGTTCAACATTTAATTGGATATATTTCGTGCCTCTAATAGTTATAGGCTCATTTTTTATGCTCAACTTAGTTCTCGGTGTCCTTAGCGGGTAAGTTGATGTCTCGCAAATTGCTCTAAATACATATATAAATATACATATATGCTTACGTACGTATATTAAATTTATTATTTTTCGAGTTCTACTTATTATAATTATATTTATGTTGTTGTTGTTGTGTATATTTTCAAATATTTTGCTATTATTTAACAATCTACTCTAATTTATTTGTTCTTTTTCTGTAAATCGAATTCAAACCAAATCAACCAAATTAAAATAAAACGAAAAAAACAAAAAATAATGATTATGTGATATGATAACCAAAAAAAAAAAAAAAAAACAAACCCCGCATATGTTTTGTGCAGTGAATTTTCGAATGAACGTAATCGTGTCGAACGTCGCATGGAGTTTCAAAAATGCCGTTTTCGCACCATGTTTCAAACTGCCATGGTTTCATATCTCGATTGGATAACACAAGCAGGTTTTTGACTTACCTTTTTAGTAACCAAAAAAAACAAAAAAAAACAACCGTTATGACCGAAAGCGTTTTAAGCTAGTACCTCCACCATCACCAACTAGTACCACAACATAGAACCAGAGAAAATAATAAAAACAAATTGAAGCAAATAAATTAGAATACAACTTTTAGCGACGCTAATGTCAGAAGAAGCCTATTCCCACCACAAAATATTGTACCACCAGTACATTACATGCATCCAAAAAAAAAAACCAAAAAAAAAAACCCAAATATACTTTCACTACAAAATATTTATATAGCAAGCTCCTGATAGCATTAAAGCAGTTCACAAGTATTCATGCTAGTTGTCCTTATGTGTATGCTAAATATACACCCACAAACATACATACATATAAACTTAAATAATTACCCGGAATTCGAAGGAGTTTCTTATTCATAAAAATGTACTAGCTATCACATAAAACGATACGTGTTTGTATGTACATACCTACATATATGAGTATTCATTAATGGAAGTCTAAATTAGAGAGAGAGAAAAAAAAAAAAACTATTTAGTCGCTCCTGGCAATGTTAACTGTTGTTAGAAAACCATGTTAGTTTCAACACCAACTGAAAATATGTTTGAGATGCGGGTTATTGAAAATGTTTGTGAAGGTTGTTTTGTTTGTTTTGTGATGCGATGTGAATGTGTTTTGCATTTTCTGTACTGCAGAAGTAAATGAGTTTTAAGAAGAAAACCACACACACACACATATTAAACAGTACACAAAACAATTAAACCAAATTATATATATACACATGCATATATGTATCTACATATGAATCAATAAACTAAACTAATATTTACACTATTAAATATAACACCTACTTACATACATACACACATAGATGAGCAAATCTCAGTTTCAGTACTTTTTCTAAGCACAGTTTTTTGCACCAAACATTACTATAATACACATCCATTATAACAGTTTATCTCTGTACAAAATTGAATTTAATCATGAGAGAGCGACCAATACAATTGAACTTACTACGCTTACCAATCATATGTAGTTAGTTACTACTTTTTCTTCAACAAAGCACCCAGTCGCTTCTCTTCTGTGCCAACTGTGCCTTGTCCCCGAGGACATATGTACATACATACGTACTACTATTTAGCGCTGGGAAATTTCGAATATCTGATTAAAAAATCTGCATATATGGATTTTAACCACATATACGGATATATTCAAATATGAACCGGATATCCGGATAACAAAATTGAACCTTTAGAAAAATTGGAGGATATTAACCGGATATCCGCATAACGAAATATAACGAATATTAACCGAATCATATGCACTTCGGCTGGTAGATATAACCGGATTTTTTGAATATCCGGATATTTGACAATCCAAGTAAAAAGGTCTATTATCCGGATACACGGACATTGACTGGATATGCGAATATTAAAATTAACGAATATTAAGCGGATATCGAATAGCAAAATCAGCGAATAATAACCGGATTCACAAAGGATATTCGGATATCAATATAGACATGAAAATCCGAACTTATATATGGACATCCGAATACACTGATAGTCCCAGTGCAGCGTGAAGTTAAGCATCAGCTACCATTCCTGTACATATCTTGATTAGTTTCGAACGGTTTCCAAAGGCCTTTAGAGCAGCTTGACTGTCACTGCGGACAGTCGCACTACCTTTCACCAATTATCTAGTCCCTAAGTACTCGAAGATCTCCGAATTCACGTCTATGGACCGAAAGAAGAATAATATGTATTTTAGTCGCTTTCGAGATGTTCAAGCCAGTTGTGATTTTAATGAGCTTTATAGGACATCTAGCGACATACTTTCTTTCAAAAGTTGCTGTAATTATAAGTTTGACACTTAAGTCCAAAAATAAAGCGCATTATACCGACAACTTGTAAATAATACGTTTTACCCGAAACTCAAGTCGTCCTGCCATAATCCAAAGGATTTGAGTCGGCACATCGTCCTTGATTCTTCCGCTGGTATGGCTGTGCAAACCTCATTTCATTATCTAACTTTCTATCGCGTAATCCAAGTGTGGCAAATTCAACAAAGCACTAAAATCAGGACGCAACAAAACGCTTTTCAGAATTCCAGGACTCTATTCGGCTAGAGGTTTTGTAAGTCGGCGTAGGCGCTGAAAGTCATAACGTCTGAAAAGCTTGGTATAGAGTTCAACTCAGAGAGCTTTTATATGATCCAAAAATCTGAGTATAGTGGCCAAATTTTTTTTTTCAACCAATATAGGCAAGAAAGCGATAGATTTTCAAAATTTAGAGAAAAAAATTTGCCGCTATACTGAGGTTTTTGGATCCTGAAAACTTGTTTTCTCGAGAACACGAATTGATCTGAGTATGAGGCATTGTTCGTATGGCCAACACCTATCAAACCTAATATATGCGCCCTCTAGGTTTTTTTTTTTGTATTCCCCAGTGTTATACATACATACATACCACATTATATCTCCTTAGCATTACTCGACTCCAGCATCCACATCAACATAGTAGGTACCCTAGGCTCAACTCAACTAAACCAAAAATACACACACCACACACACGCAAGTAAATGCAAAGCAAAATGCCCGTCGATATTGAAAGTTTCGTTATGTATTACTTATGGAATTTTATTGAAGAGCATTCTTACTATATATATTTATTGCATTTATATTTGAATTTATAATTTACAACAATTATAACCACTGATTTCCCTTCAAATTTTCGTTTATCATTTTGTGTTTTCCTTAAGTTCATTATAATGTACTATTTACATACGTATTCGTACTTACAAAAGTACAAACATATGTATGCACTTAAGTATTTCTATGTATTCAAAATTTTATATGTAAGTAACTCTGTACTAAATATCACAATTTGAATTTCGAATTCGAACAACAAAACACTTGCTATTTATTCCTGTATGTATATTATTTTTGTGTAATTATTTTTTGTAGTGAATTCGCAAAAGAACGTGAAAAAGTAGAAAATAGACAAGAGTTTCTTAAACTTAGAAGACAACATCAGCTAGAAAGAGAATTGAACGGCTATGTTGAATGGATATGTAAAGCTGGTATAGTATTGCGTTACACCTAACTAACTACATACATAAACACGTATTTAGATAATCGAATAAATTGTTTTGAATTTTCGAATATACCTACATATTTTGAGAGTTTTGACAAGTAAATAAATTAAACACAAAATACACAATTCTACATAAATAACCTTGCTGTATGTTTTTTTTTTGAAGCACACACCGCGTTTACAACAAATACAATAACACACACACACACACATCCATTCCCAATTTCCAATCCCCACTTTGATAATATTTAATAAATATATAAGTATGTACGTATATTCCAAGTTTAACGTAAAAACTGTTTTTGAGCTTTTTGCTTAACCCCTTTTGAGCTTCCGATTTTATTTTCTTTTTTTGTGGCCTTACTAACCTTTTGCTTATCCTTGCAGAGGAAGTAATTTTAGCCGAAGAGCGTACAACTGAGGCAGAAAAAATGCACATAATGGAGGGTGAGTGCTGGAGAACACAATAAAATTAAACATTTTTTAAATTTTAAAGCACAAATTTGTACAACCTATGAATGTCTATAATTGATTGATTTCTCCTTGCAGCACGAAGAAGAAACGCTGCAAAACGTAAAAAACTGAAAAGTTTAGGCAAATCGAAGTCGACAGACACCGAAGAGGAGGAGGGCGAAGAAGATTATGGGGATGACGGTATGTATCGCATGAAGTTACATACATAGTTACATAAACGCACAACACAATAATCAAATTTAATAAATTGGGCATATGCAAAAATGTTCAGAATAAATGGAAAATGTGTTGAAAATCCACCAAAATAGCATGTCACACAAGCCATTGTTTGAAAACCAAAATAACCGACATAGAAAAAAAAACACACACACACATTAAAAATTGTATTATGTACCTCCAATTCAAAATCAAAGTGCGCATGAGTAGCCAATCTTGTACGCGACTCATGTTGCCAACATAAGCAGTGAAACCTATCAGAGTTTGCATTCGGAAAGGACAACGGTTTTTGTACAACGCCTTAGGCACGTTTCCTGAAGGGACAGAATGATTGTAAGTCGCCTCTAAGGGTGGTTACCATAACCCACAGTTTGAAACAAAAATTATTTTAGTAAAGTAAATACATAATGAGACAAGGGACTGGCAAAGAACATATTCACAGCTCCGAGCGGTTTCACTGCGTACAGTGAATCAAACAAGTGTTCACTTATAGATTTTTTTTTTAATATTCAATTTTTTTTTCAAGTTAAATTTTTTTATTACTTTCTTATTAAAATATAGATCATGCTTCTAACAAACATAAAACCAAGTCATCGAAATTTCGAACTTTTTAATCTGAATCTCTATAATAGCGCATAAAATTCGAGTATAATAAAATGCCAGTTTCAGAGGGCTAAAAAATCGCATGTTAATTTTTTGGAAGCATGAACTATATTTTTATAAAAAAATAACAACAAAAAAATTATACTTGTAAACCATTGTTTATATAAACAAAAAATCAATATGTGAACACTTGTTTCAGTCACTGTAGGTACATATGTACTTCGTATGCACGTTAACATGTGTTATTAGTACTTGAAATTGTTACAAACAAAAAGCGCAACCAAGTCACCAAAAAATCAATTCATTTCGTTGTAAAACAAAAGATAAAATGTTAATTAATTTATACTTCTGTTGTTGTTCCATCTTAAATTACGAAAATGTATCTTTCTTTTGTTTATCTGTATATTTTTCGTCTTTCTTCTCTTGTGTTATTTTGTTGTTGTTGTTGAAACACCGCCTTATACGCACCTATGTGTAATGGTGTGTGCATACATAACGGCACATGACATATTATTTACTGTCGCAACATTTAATAAATGTCAACAGAGGGTGGTGAAAAAGGCGACGAAGGTAAATCTATTGTTTAGTTTTGTTCTTTCATTTAGTTTCAAGTCAATATATATGTAAATGTTTCTAATTGTAAAATATTTATTATGTCAAATTCCTAATACGTTTCGAACTACATACATACTTATGTACTTAAAAACAATTTCTTTTCCGATTTGTAAAAAAAAAAATGCTTTACTTTAAAAACGCCTTAACTGCTATAATCTTTTAAAGTTAGCTAAAGGTCCTTTCTAACTTAGATGAAATTATTTTTTTATATATGAACAAGTACATACATACTAAGAAGGAGTAAAACTAACTGTAGATATCTGGTTTATAGTTCGCCTAGTCAGATTTGAAGCCAGTTCGTTTTAATATTTCATACGTTTTTAATTTAATCATTCCAATTTAATAGTAATCAGTTTTATTAATGCATTTCATTAAACCTACATACTAATACTTAAAGATCGGTCCATATACAAAGAGTACTTATTTCCAATACAAAGAAACAAATTTTAAAAGCATAATACGCTGTATTCAAATGTCCGATGGGTCCTAGACTCAAGTTCCTAAAGTGTTAGGCAACTTTTAGACAACTTCTCAGAGTGCACTGTGATGACTCGGTAAATGTTTCAGGACAAATACTAGCCGCACCATAGCTTATCAGTGAAATTATAATTGACAGAAAAATATGTTGGGCTATATCTAATTTCAAGCCCTATAAGTGGCCAGGACTAGATGGCTGCTTAAATCCCGGTTACATATCCGTGATGTGGAAAAGGTTAATATAGTTTTCATACCGAAAGCAGGTTGAACCTAGGCCCATAAGCCTCTCCTCTTTCCTATTTAAGACTCTGGCAAGACTTCTAGAGACGAATGCATATAAGATAATCGATTAACCCAGCAGCTTTACCTAATGTGCAGCATGCTTAAAGCGAGTATATATCTACGGATACAGTTATCCACTCAGTTTCGAAAATTGAACGATCACTCAAAATATCGCATGCTATTACCTCTGCTCTGACGGGATCTGCGAGTAGATTAAGCACTGGTTGGGCCCTTCCACCAATGGCTCACCAGTAGAGTGGTGAGCTCAGAACTTGGAGGGACACACGACTTGCAGGTCTGTCTGGAAGGGCTCTCCACAGGTTAGTGTTCTCTTTCCACTCTACTATAGATAGTAGCGGTGAAAAAACTATAGCGGCGCATGAGGGTGGACGGATATGAGGTTATTGCATAGGCCGATGATGAGGTTCGGTACTCCTTCAGGGGAAATTCTCCAAAACCCTGGGCGATCTCATGGGGACTGCTCTTGCTTTGTTAGTTACTTGGACAAAAAACTGTGGTCTTGAAAGACTGTGGTCTAGCTAAAACTAGTTAGTCCTTTTTACCAGAAGATACAAAGTATTGGCCCTTATACCCACAAAACACGATGATTCAAGCCCGAAATTCAAACGCTCTGCAAAGTATCTAGGAGTAATTCCTGGCCGTTAGCTGCCCTGGAACAACAATGCAACGGGACGTATTAAAATACTACAACAGCCCTCTTCACTTGTAAAATAGCGAATGGTTCACGGGTTTCTCACGTAGGGTAGTCACTGGCCATTGTGTGTCCGATTTTACTCTACGAAGCCTTAGGCTGGCGGCCTACCCTCATTAAGTTGACAAAATTTAAACAACTCTACATGGTACAAAGGAGGGCAGGGCAGTGCATAGGTGGAGCTGAGTGCTCCTCACCTACTGAGCTCTGTAAAAAGCAGAGAGTGTGCAGTATATTAACACAATCCTTTTTTAAGGACTGGATAAGGTCAAATATGAATGCGTGGGAAATTCGTTTGAACTTTAAACCACACTTTCAGCGACGTTTTTTTGGTACTTATAAAGTAAGGTTGTTTGTTGTTCTAAAATTTTGTATTGGACCGGTTTGAGGACGAGGGAGTTTCACTTAAATAATTCATTCATTCATTAGTTGTCATTTTAAATACTTTTTATTAGTTAAACAAATACATATTTATGTATGCAACTAGTTAAACCTTATATAGTGTATAGTTTTTTTTTTTTACTAAATACAAGTAGATTTATGCCCTTTTAATCGATTTTCAGATTTCTTAAATATATAGCTTTAGGATTTTCACCGGACATATAGCTAATGAATAGTACAATCTAATAGACCAGTCAATCTGGTACCTGAGGACGAACTATTTAGTTCCCCACGGAAGACTATATTGACTGAAATAACGAAAAACTATTTGTTTGTATGAAATTTGTACATACACCCGTACCACCATACATTAGACCGTATCACCTTACACGAAAACAAAAAAAGTTCGACGTACATACACCGCTGAGTCAAAAGTACTTTTTCCAGATAAATATTTTTGACATGTGGGTGGTAGGTTGTGGTGGTAGGAACTGAACGAGTTACTTGAGTTCAATGAACTCTGAAAAAAAATTGTTCTCGAGACAAGAACATTGGTATATTCGGCCGCTAATCGATTTTTTGGCCATCATTTTGGAAAGCCTATATCTCCGAAGTTAAGATTTATTTTTTTTTTGTCTGCACTGCTGACTACTAACTCACCAAGAAAAAGGCAATTTGGACAACTCCAATCTTTGTGATACTTGTCCGTAACTTTTCAACTTTTAACTTTTTAGCTTCAAGGCTCTTTTATGATCCGGTTGAGTCGTTTCACCTAGCCATTTGATTGGAATACCGGTGACTCAAAATTTCTTGCTTGATCAGGGTGCCGTATCCCCTAACCCAATTGTCTGAGAACTACAACATTACTACATAACAGCGAGGACGTATGGATGTATTTGTCTCCCAATATGCTCGTAGAAAATGCTCGTGTCTCATCTGGCCATGAGTAGTAGATTTCGGGTCCTTGGTTGCAAAACTCTCCGCGCACTCTGATACCGATTTACGATAACCTACCCCATGGAAACTCTGCTGAATTTTCTCCAGAGTCTTCATGATTTCCAGATGCCAGCCACTAGGGCCATTATGGAGTTCATTGAGAACGTCCGAAATATTTACCCTTGGAGTTACTGTTACGTTGCGGAAGCACTGGCCATCGTCGCTTTTCCGCAAGCTATGAAAGCCGCCCAGTATGTCTTTGCGATCGGGCTTTCAACAGCCAATTGCTTTTTAGTTGGCCTCTGCCCATCTCCAGTTCATGCATCAAAAGCTAAATTTTCTACGGTTTTCGGCCAGTGGTCGATCTACCAGTTTATATCAAGAGACATCCATTAGGATTCTAAAACCACCTCTTCAAAATGAAATTAAGAAAATACCATTATTTCTGAATGCGGTCGAATATGGGTTAAGAGCCGACTGTAAATATCGAAGATATGAAGAAAAAAGTAAAAAGGCGACCCCTGCGATCGGCCAAAAACAAATATATATATTTTTTCAATACTTAAGACTCATGGTTGTACGGCGATCTTTTTTTCTGGACGGTCTAGTGTACTTACGGATATACATATTAGGGTGGTCAAAGTTTTTTTATATTGAATAATTTCCTTCTGATATTTCTAATATCTATATATACCAACTTTCAGGGCCGTTTGCACCATGTCTAGTTAAACCTAACTGGAGGTACATCCTTCAGTTAAGCACGTTAACTGCTTTATCGATCACATGTTATATGATGGGTGTCGATAACGTCGATAAAGATGTTTAACTGGGAGTTAGAATTAACGAGACATGGTGCAAACGGCCCTCAATGTTCAACTGTAACCAATACAGGGTGCTCAATAACCTTGAGCAACTGAATCCTTTTGAAACTGAAAAAATATTGGTGATTTCTTTAAAAAGCTACTGCTGCCAAGACAACTGCCGCTTGCAATATTTTTTCAGCTAAATTAAACTTGAAATGTTTTCAGTTTGCTTAAAAAAAATATATATTATCATACGCCAAGTAACTATACGTTTTACCAACAACAATTGATTACGCGAAAGTGATTAGTCGAAGCGTGGTGCTTCACACGATCGTTAGTTATATTGGTAGCGATGTATATATTTAATAAATTTAAAATATTGGCTATCAAATTAGGAGAATGAGGGACATTGCATTTTTCTTATAAACGTAACTATCTGATCAAGACGGCATGTCGTTTAACCTTTTGGGGAATTATGCAAAGGTACAACTAAAAAGTTTACCAAAATAATGTTGCATTCAACACTTCCCACAACCTACCCAAAAATTTTGTTTCGGGCGTGTTCCGTGTTTTTGTTTTTATTTTTGTTTGTAGCTCGGTGCTATTGTAGCACTTTAAGATGCGTTTATCTACTTATGTCTTTTTTGTGTCAACTATTTCTTACGAATTGGTTACATATGTATGTATGTACCTATAAACTTGAGTAACTGTTATGGCTGTTGGTGGCTTCACCAAATATATGTTCCTATTTTCATGTCTCTATGTGTTTTCACCTGCAAATAAAAACATTACATACTTCTACTATAATGTATAATAGATTTGTGCACCGTTAGCAAGTGCAGTGTCTCCTTAATTCACATACATTTGTATGTACATATCTACATTTGTATGTATTCATGTACTTTTTTCGCTCATAATGTAATAAAAAAGTGTGTTTACTCGTTGTTTCTTAGAGTTTTTTCTTTTTAATTATACTCGCTCTCTTATTTCTGTTATTTACTTGTTTCTTTTCCTTTTCACTTTATTCTTAATTCGATAATGAACAATAATTTGATATATGATTAATGCTGAAAATATATATTTTTTTAATTTCATTATTTTCCGCAACAAAAAAAAAAAAAAATAAACAAAAACTAAAAACAAACAAAAATCCATAATATTATTATGATAAAACGATGTGTAAGTAAAATGAATATGGAATTTATTTTCTTCACACGATTCAATACTAAAATTCCTCAGATTTTTTATAACTCACCTCTCACGTAAACAAATAATTTACCTATATGCAAACACCCAATTCCATCTATTGCAAATTTATAATATTTTCGAAATCATACTGCCAGAATAATATCCATTTCACTTCAATAAATCATGAGATAATCCATTTTCCAACTATCATACAATGTATGTAAATAAGTTAAGCGCGGAGAGGGATTATTAAACAAGAATTTAGCAGAATAGTATTTTATTAAAAAAAAGCCAGGAATTTTTTAGTATATTTTTAACAATCGCTTACATATATGTATGAATTTATGCACAAATGGATTCATGGAAAAGTATCATATTTTGAAAATAGTTTACATTCTGACTTCATATCTGTTGCAATCTCTGAAAAAATAAGTCCACGAGTGTTCGCAAATTTCTTCGTATTTATAAAAGGACGTTCTGAAATTAAAAAAAAAGTTAAAAATCTTTAAAATGAATATTTTATTTGATATTTTTAGAGAAGAAAAATATTTTCATAGCGAAAAATCTATTCTATGTATAAACGCTGAAGATTCTTTCTTTAAGCATAAAAAAATTAATTCACTTTCAAAGTACCTGCAAGGTTAGTTTTCGTTTTCTCTTGGAACAACGCTGTATAAATGCGCTGGTCTTTATTTAACCCTTAAGTAGGCGTCTTGAGTGACATCAAAAAAACTTTCACTTCAAGCTCTGATTAAAAAATAAAATGTTACATTCGCGAAAAATTGTATGTTAGTGGTCGCATGGGGTCAGCACTCAATAAAATAGCGACGCACGTGTAAGCGCCGATGTTCTGGCCGGGACTAAATTGGGTATCCCGCGCGGACTCCAATAATTTTTTGTTTAATTTGAAATGGTCTTCATCCCATGCGCCTAATTAAGGGTTAAAAATAAATAATTCTTGTACTGCCACAAGCACAAATATAATATAATTATTTCGATTCTAATTTAATTTCACTTTTACTTAATCAGTTTTTTAAATTCTACTATTTTTCGCCAAAATAAAAAAAAAACTCGTATGCGCTAACATTTGAAATCAAACTGAAATATAGCCTTTAAATACTATTTAGCAGCTTTTATTGTACGCCATATACCGCTTTACAACCTAGCTTGGAAACGATATGCATACATACACACACACACATACACCCACATTAACTAAGGCGTTAATTGCACAACGAACTTAGAAAAGAATGTTCTGAGTCTCAAACTTGAATCGAAAATTTAAATACTCATCACAAAATCATTAACATTTTAAAGGAAAACTAAGAAAAATAAACCTTACAGTAGTGGTGGCCAGATCTGTGGTCGTGGTCCGCAAATTTTTTCGACAGTGATGACGAGGAAGGGGTTCTACTTTGCACTAATCTATATAAAATCTATAAAAGTATGGGAAAGCTCTGCTCACGCGTTTTTTAATGCTGATAACTTCACACTGAAAGTGTAAATATTTGTACCGATGAAGGGAGCTTAAGCTTGAAATTTAGTAGAGCTTAAGCCTACTTTTTAAATATCAAAGGCTCATCAAAATTTTTTCGAGTTTTTGAATTGTTGCATCGCCTAAAAGCCGATAGAGTACTAAGCAATGTACACTTTTCGAAACTATAAACTTCAGAGATCATTAAGGACTCTAAGAGATTTTCAAATAAAAGCAAACATTTATTTCCTATGAAATCAAAAATATTGATTCAGTCAGCTAGTATTTTCCACCTTAGAAAAATTACTGCTCCACTTTTATCTATTCTAACTAGAACACAATTGATGAAACTAAAAAAAAAAAATTCTACCATTTTCTTAACGTTCATGGTTAGTTCACTTCATAGTTCATAAACAATGTGCACTTAAAATAAACATTTTAATGCCAGTAGCTCATTATTCTGTGTATGCATTGCTATTTACAAATATAAAACATAAATACATGCATTTAAAATACAAATGCATTGTATTTATGTTTAACATTTTCTTGCTGTATCTACGAAACATTATATACGCTCCTTCCTAATACAATTTTCAAAACATGCTCGCACATTACTTACCTACACACATACATACATATCGAAATAATTACCTAGAGAATTCTACCCCTTTTTTGTATACTTAGTAAACATTGTTTTAAATTTTACTAATTCGCGTCGCTTTATTTTATTCTGCTATTATAATTTTAACTATAGGATACCTAAAATCACGCCCGAAACCACAAGGCAGCTGTACGGGCTTTTGGCGTGCCGAGAAACGTTTTCGCTTCTGGATAAGGCACACGGTGAAAACGCAATGGTTCTATTGGTTCGTCATCGTACTCGTATTCCTGAACACTATGTGTGTCGCTGTAGAGCACTATGGTCAACCAAAATTTTTAACGCAATTTTTATGTAAGTATAATAGGTAGAGTATTTTAAAATGCCATGGTCAGTGGATATTGGAAGTCGATAAATCGACAAAACATCGATATATCTATAAAATTTTAATAAATCAATAAAATACCGTTTAATAAAAGAAATACCTATAAATCGGCAAAATATGGACGAATCGATAAATCTATAAAATATCGATAATAATTTCGATTAATATGAATATAACTATAAATTAAATGTATTGATATCACTATCGATAAATTTGGCTACATTCACTAATACCGATAAGTATTTTATTACTCAAACCATATGTTCCTTTACTAAGCCTCATAAGCATTTAATACAATCATAGTAGTGATGTACTGAGTCGATACTTTTATGTATTGATCGATATTCGGTACCGATTTAAAAACTATCCAATACAGTTGAGAAGACTCGCCTATCAAAAGCCGAATGTAGGACCAGGAGGGTCGATCCATCACCATAATGCAGAGAAACTCTCACTTGTTTGAAGCAAACAATTTCTAGAAAACAACTACATACTGAGAAAAGAGATCTCCTTTACATCTACACGATAAAAAAATTCAATTGTTCTCACAACACACCGCTGCCAAATCCTGGGAGGCGGTGCAGAAGCAAAAAAAATTTTCCCAGTTTCATCCTTTGCAAGATAGAAAGCCTGATTATGGCAACTAAACTTAACGGAACGTAGAGCTTAGAAAATCAAAATGAAACAGATTTCGACGTGGCATTAAGTTACGTTTAGTTTCGGCTTTTCAGTTATAAGCAACATCCAATTAAGAGAGTTGCCATAATCAGACCAAGAGAGGGCTAATTGAGTTGTCGCCGTTGGGTGTTTGCGCTCCTAGATATATACTATACTTTACTATTCAGAGATCGCGCAAAGTGTTTTCAGTCCCATCTGAGGCCGAGGGTGGGAGTACTATAATTGGTTGAAGACCAAGGAATTCATGGTCTGAGTCCCCTCTACTGAAATTGTCAGTACAACAGTGTCAACAGTAACAATTATTGTTTTCCAACAAAATTTAGCTGAGACTTGCATTTCCGAACTAGTCTGAAAGAAGTTGGAGCTTGGCTTTCAATATCGACACTTAAACTTTTGGTCTTGATGATTCAAAATACCTGGCTTGGAAAACTGAGGTCTTTTTTCAGAGAAAACAGTAATGCTCGTTCCGGTTATCTGCCATATTGACTCCAAATCTGGACTAAGAGCCAATTTTGGAGCCATCAGCAAATATACGAGAAATTGTGTGTCCGGAAAAGGAATTGGGAATAAACTAATAATTAGCCACAGGGAATCTAGATCGCGAAATCTTCACAGCAAAGGTAATAATGGTGCACGATCTGCCAGCAGCAGTTTTCGCCTTTCCTCTCACAATATTTTACCAAAATCTATTTCATTTAAACCTATCCACCTGAAAATATGTAAAGTGATGGTAAATGTAGCAGGGCATTAAGAGCACCGGAAGCTGTTGTAGAGAGGACTCCCGTACAGGGGACGGCGAGTTTTCATTGTACTGTTGCATGCAGAGCCGCCATATCCACGCAGATAACATATATCCAATGAGCCCTCTTGGTGGGAGACCCAATGTTTTGCCAAACACCTGTTTTTTATCAAACTGCCGTCTATTCTTTGGTGGGCCTTTTCTGGACTTAAGGCTTCCCAGAAGGGTTGGCATCAGGAATCACTCTTAGACACTTTACTTCGGAAGGGATTTGTGATGAGAATTACAACCTACAAAATTAAAAATAGCTATTAAATACCTGACGTTTAGTCTTAATCTGCAGTCTTAGCGATATTTTGCATCACATTCCATTCAACGATTCTTTTTTCTTATCTTCTCTTCTCATTATAGACTATGCTGAATTTTCGTTTTTGGGTCTATTCATGTCGGAGATGTTTATCAAAATGTATGCGCTCGGACCGCGCACTTACTTCGAATCGTCGTTTAATCGTTTCGATTGTGTCGTCATTAGTGGTTCGATATTCGAAGTTATATGGTCTGAGGTGAAGGGAGGCTCATTCGGTCTATCCGTATTGAGAGCGCTACGTTTACTACGTATCTTCAAAGTGACCAAATATTGGTCGTCACTGCGAAATCTTGTGATTTCGTTGTTGAACTCGATGAGATCCATCATTTCACTATTGTTCCTGCTCTTCTTGTTCATTCTAATATTTGCACTACTTGGCATGCAATTGTTTGGCGGGCAATTTAGTTTTAAAAGCGGTACCCCCGAAACAAATTTCAACACATTCCCCATAGCCTTACTTACAGTATTTCAAATTCTAACCGGTGAAGATTGGAATGAAGTCATGTATCAGGGTATTAAATCACAAGGTGGCGCTAAGAAAGGAATGATTTATTCTGTGTAAGTTTTTATACTACAGAAAACTACATACATACATATGTACCTACTCGTACATATTCAGCTATTGTAATCGATTTGTTTTTTTTTTTGTTCTCAAACTTCAAACTTAACCCTAAACTGCTAGATGGTTAAAAATAAAACTCAAAGCCTAGAAATCACCTTTGCATACATTTATTCATATTTGTATATGTATTGATATTAATTTGCATTTTAACACAGGCCGTCTATATATACATTGATTTTGAGCTTTCCAATTAACTTCTAACTAATCAATTTCCACAATAAATCTTTAAACTAATTTATCTTAAATCCAATCTGAATGTCCTATTTGTAAAGTGTAATATAATTCAAGAAAAAAATTTACAGCTTTCAAACTACTAATATATCTATATATAAACTGCATAAGCTCAGCAAAATATTTATATAATATGTATAATAAAAGGTTTCCACTCTCTTGAGCTTTTGGGCCAAATAGGCGCACTTAATATTGTTTTTCAATTTATTTAATTGTTCTTCGAGCCCGTAGGTGCCACATTCCTTTTAGCTAAAGTTTTTAGGCACACACACACACATACACACATACACTTATATCCACACGCATGTATTCACTAATACTTCATTGCATATCTATTTAACTAAACGATTGTAAGGAAGTGTTAGTCAATACGCAATGAAATCATATTTTTCAATACGGTGGGATATCGAGCTTTCAAAATTATTATTGCTTCGCAAAACGAAAATGAAATGAAATATTTAATAATTGAATACATATAACAATAATAATATCCGAATCAAGCTCAGGTAAAATCTTTACTATATTAATAGATACAAATTCATATCTCCAGCACAGAGCGAAATGTAAGCTCTTAAAAAGTACTTATTAAGACCATACTAAGTACATGTTTTACATATATGAATTCGTAAATGCATCTGTGTTGTTAGCACCCGTTTAACGTCGCCCGTTATTGAACGTCGAACCATTAATGTGTGCAATCACTGTAAGCTTAATGAAAGCTTTTATGACATATGTAATATTTATTTACATATCGTATTGGATTTTCGAAAGTTTGTGCATCACGGTAAAGCATATGCAGTGCTACTGTGTATGTAGGAGCTTTCGGAAATTCACTTCTCAAAAAAATTTAATATTTTCATATTATTACGAATAAGGCTTTTATTACTAATCTAAAAAAAATACATATTTCATAACTAAAATGATTTCACTCATTTAAACACTTATTGGTATTCTAAATTGTTTAAAACAACTTTTTTTGTAAGTGGCTATGTAAATATATTTGCAAAACTAAATAATATACATAGTGAAGTGGTTCGTATTTGCGCGCCAATATATAAGATAATGCGTCGCATGCATTTTGAAAATAGATAAGTGATGTCATTTGTCATGCGCCTCATTTGTTCTTCGTAGTTTGTAATGGTCTCTTTATTGTTCGCCATTTATTATTTGTAATAATTTGACCTATTTTTGGTAAGCTACTTATCATTTGCATTTTTTTTTTTAATATTTGTCATTTGTTATTTTCATTTGCCATCTGTCATCTGTCATTTATTATTTGACATTTGTCATCTGTCATTTATTATTTGACGTTTTTTGATGCTCATTTTTCCCAAATTATTGGTCATTTTAAAATTATCATTTGTCACTTTTTGTCACTTGTCATGGTGAATTTTTCATTAACGGTTTGCCATTTGCCATTTGTCATTTATTATTTTTTATTTTTCATTTTTGTCATTTGTAATTAAAATTTTTCATTCGGCATTTGCCATATAACATTTTTATTATTTACTTATACATAAAACGCTGAATGACATAACCTACTTGATTTCTGATCGCGCAAATACGAACCATATACAAATTTTTATACTCCTGCTTGCATGCAAAAAATATTTATTTACATTCCTATTTACCAACTAAAATTAATATGCAATCGTAACCATAAACAATTTATAGTTTCTTTATGAAAAACATAATTTTTTTTTTATTACGAAGAGCTTATTGCACTATAAGCTTTGAAACTTGCAATTGCTTTTTGATTTTATTTAAAATTATGAGTTTTTAAATTATCAGAGATTCGCCATTTTTTTTTTTGCTATTTTTTTTTAATATTTGCGCACAAAAGAAAAAATATATAAAGTGTACTCGTTTCTAAAAAAAATTTTAATTCAATTAATGACTTACTACAGTGTGCTAGAAAAGTCAGCTTTCAAATATTTTCTGAAATTTGCTTAATCTACTATTTAAGTAAAAAATCTACTAAGAATTTATATAAATGTATAATATCGCTAAATTTTTTGCTTTTTGAAATATAAAGTAATTTATGTTAACAGAGCTATGTCCATTATAAAAAAAAATGAAGTGTAAATTTTAAGTTTATTTTGAGCTTGTATTAGCATTTAGAAGTAGCAAGCAGGCTTCTGGAAAAATCCTACTAAAATTATGTGCCCCTAATGCTGTGAGCTATGCAAGACGCTGAATGGGACTGCAAATGAGATGCCTGGAAAACTTAATGCTAAAAAAAAGGTATGAAATATTTAAGAAATATAAACTCTTTATTTTAAACCAGTGCCGTTTTTTTGCAGATGAGCATCTTAAAAATAATAACTGGGCCAACTGAAATAATAGTTTATAAGATTTCCATAAATAACAATAAGTAACCTAATAGGCTCATGAAATACATTGGCTTACTATGTTTATATTAAACCAAAGTAACCAAAATAGAAATATATTTTTTAGTTGATTGTAAGAAATATTAGTAATTAATCACCGTTAAATTAAATCTTAAAATATGTTCACAAAATTTTTAAGGTAATCCGGTCCGTCCTCAGTAGTGAGCTGGAAATTGATAAGGAAAGCAGCTACATTTAGTAAAATTTTTACTACCTTATTTTAATTCTAATGCTGAGTTTCCAATAAACCGTAAATAACAAAGGCTCTGATGATGAAGTTGGATATTAATCCACTTCATCCGTCATGTTAAAAGTAATAGTCATTAAGTTTGTTTTGAGCTGGATGTTTTTACATGGCACGCATTTGTCGCCATTTCAATGCCCAGTGAAACCTCGGCATAAATCTGGGTAGATCAATATACAGTATTTTTAGTAAAAACTTAAATTGAGTACACTTACAAATATTTTGTATTAATTTATTTATTACAATTACTATTACTTACACTAATATATAAAATTGAACATTTGGAAATCCATTTCTAAAAATAAAACAATACTTGCATTAGGAAAAAATATAAAAAAATTTAAGTAAACACTGTGTTAAATTTAATTTTTGAACGTAATTTTCTTATATAGTTTAACCATAGAAATAGCTTAAGTGAGTAAAAAAAAATTTTACAAATTTTTTAACTTTATTTTTGAACGTAATTTTACTGACATAGTTCAATCATAGAAATAGCTTAAGTGGGTAGAGAAAAATTTAATTCTTGATCTTAATTTAAAAAGACATTCTAATTATTGATCAAACCGTGCATAGCTAGTGCGCGCGTGGCTCTTATAAAGTAACCCGTAAAATAACTATTAACTGCTACTCTTCAATACAGTGAAAGCTCTCATAAACGGACGCTTTAATAAGCGGACTTCTACTTTCCGATAAACGGACGCGGACACTGAAAAATGTCCACTTATGAAAAAATGTTCCATAAGTGGAGGCGAAGCTCTAACAAGCGGTCAATTTTATGTTTTTTTTCAGTCAGATGTGGACTCTCGCGCTTATGCATATGTACAGTATTGGCCAATACAATAGCACTCCCATCCAAGTGATATTATTTCCCACTCATGTTTATTTATTTATTTTTAGGAATTTGCAATTAAAATAAAGTTCATTCTCTAAAAAACCCATATATACCCAAGTTTTAAACTTTGTAAAAGACTACAAAAAAATTCAACAAATTTTCATCTAAGTTTTAATTTTTTTTCTCAGAAGTGTTAAAATTTTTTTGACTACGCAGTTTTATAGCCCAATTTTATTCTAACAACGTGCAGGTTTCAAGTGGCTAAACATCACCGTTGATTTTTTAGAATCTTTTCCGCCGAATGTGTTGCGGGTTTCTTCCATATAAAAATAAATTGTATTTATTCGTTATATGGAAACAAACGCGATAAAAAAGGTTCTAAATTCTTCGGTAATTCTACTTAGGTTTTTGGCCTTAATTAAAAAAAAAAATAGGTTGGTACCAGCTAGTTGTAGAGGCGGCACCTTATACTCGTACCGTCTAGTAAAGCAACTAGCTCAGATTTAGCTTGGTGGCCTCTACGCGCCATTTTTTTTTTTTAACTTTTGATTTGGCTTGCCTATGGGGGAACTTATCCTGAATCAGTACTAGAACATCGTCCGCTTTAGCAATTACTTTTTGCTGCATTCTCCTCCATATCTTAGCATCGGTACTATAATGAAGAGTAGCACAGAAAAAACTTAGACTCGAAAAATAAGAGCCACCCTAATGCACATATTAAAATACTTGCTTGAAAGCTTACTTTTCTTAGCTACAACTATTGAAAGTCAAACAAAAATGGTTAATACTTTTTTTCGTTGAATAATTGAAAATAATTTTAATACGCTATAACACAAAACATTACTGGTTAAATTTTTTCATAAATTCAAACTGTTTCTGTAACATTTTTTGCAAGAAGCCTTAATCAATAATTCTTAATAGCAATGATTTAATATTTGAAACACTCACCGTAAAATACTTAAAATCAAGAAAACTTTTGAGCAAGTAAACCATCTATAATTTCACCAGAGTGTCCTGCTTAACTTAAAGCAAAAAATGAAAAAAACCATCTATTGCACTCTATGGGAAATTTATGTAAATAGATGAGGGATTTTAATCGAGTTCAAGCGAAAGCCCAACGTAAACTTTGCACTTGTGTATGTAAACGTTTTAATTTTCATTACGTTTTTTTTTATGATTTGCCTATATTTGTGTAAGCAGCTAAAGGTTAAAAAAAAAGTTTGACACAATTTTGCTGGGGCTGTGAATATTTGCATACCAATAATTTTTAAATAATTTTTGTTTTGCTTGTAACCGGCTTGCTCGGCCACAACTTATGCTTAAGTACATTTTAATGCACCAAAATATTGTTGTAAAATTAATTAAAGCAATCGCAAATGTAGGAATAAGCGATTCAATAAGAACAACGATTTATTATGTTGAACAGGAGTTTTTGGCGCGTTTAACGCTAACGAACAAAGGAGAGTATTCAATGTCATACATGTAGTTAAGTGTGTATGGACAATCATAAAACATATACATATATGTATGTACATGTTTATGTTGGCACAGCAGTGAAACTGACATAAAGTAGGCAAGCAAGGAAGCCAGCAGAGTCGCTTAATATTTTTTTTTTGGCTTTCAAATGGCCAGAAAAAGATAAAAGCTGCGCCTACCTTGCTTGAACTACGGACAATTTTGAGTAGGATGAATACTTCTGCTTTTCAACTGCTGTGCCAATAAAATATTAAATTTTTGTTCGAAACATTTTAAGTTTTATTGCCACTCATTGCTTCAACTATATTACATGCATCTCTTCATTGAACACATACGAACTTTTCATTCAATTAATATTAAGTACCTTCACTTAAGCATACATACACATAACTACTTAATACTTTGTAAATAACTTAACTTTAATCAGTATATATTTACATAACTAGATACTTATACGTATGTTTTCATACTAAGATAAATTATTTCAATTCGCCTTCCTTTCTCTTTGTGTATTCGCACAACTAAATACTATATTTAATTGAACTTCAAGTTGTCGCTTACTAGCATAGTACCAAAAGTCTCCCTCTCTCTCTCTCTCTTATTAACCCCATTTATGTACTATACTTCAACATTCAACATTACTGTCCTCCACGTTTACTAACTGAATATTTGTACGAAAATTTATTTGGAAATTGGTGAAATCACTTAACACTCTCAATGTTATATGTATATATGTTCTTTCTGAATCGCTACAGATACTTTATCGTTTTGGTACTCTTCGGTAATTACACACTGTTGAACGTATTCTTGGCTATCGCTGTCGATAATTTAGCGAATGCCCAAGAATTAACAGCTGCCGAAGAGGAGCAAGTCGAGGAAGATAAGGAGAAGCAATTGCAGGAGCTTGAAAAGGAAATGGAAGCACTTCAAGCCGATGGTGTTCACGTGGAGAACGGTGATGGTGTAACGGCGCCGAATAAGGCGAAAAGTAAAAAGAAAGAGGAGGAAAAGAAGGAGGAGGAAGAAGTGACGGAGGGTCCAAAACCAATGTTACCATACTCATCTATGTTTATACTATCACCGACGAACCCGTAAATACAAGTTTTTGGTTAAATGTTTGTGTGTGTGTTTATACATATGTGTAGGTGGGTGGGAGTGAATGTGTGTGCGTGAGTGTATGTTAAAT